GATTTGATGTAGTCTTCCTGCCCCCTGCTGTACGTCGCGGGGGGGGGGGGGGGGGGGGAATTGAGAGTCTTCTGTTGGAGTTCGGGCGCTGAGTGATGAAGACAGCACTTTTCTTTTTCCAAAGCAACAGCTTGCGTTAAAAATAGTCTCACTGAATGACACGGAGACGGCTGGAGCAGGAAACAAGCAACAAGAGCAGCAATATTTAGAGTGTTCTCATGATGTGCCTAAGCTTTCTAACTGACATCTTCTCAGTTTGGTGCTAGTATAGATAAGGAAAAAGACAAAGTGAGCATGTGAAACATAATCTTTGATATATATCTTTTGAAAGGTTCGGCCTTCTTTTAAAACTGGAAACAACTTACAACATCAGAAATTTTTGTTTTTGCATAAATTATGCATATTGAAAATATACAAAATATGGTGGCTAGCAAAAGCTGTCATACTATTTAACTTTGTCCACCACCGTTCTCGTTTTAATGATTTATCTTGTGAGACATCAACACCAAAACTTTAGCAGGAAGAAAGCCCTAAGAAATCCCATTTTCAGTTTGCCAGAAGCCACTCATGTGGAACATGTGGAAGAAATGAGACGGTTTTAAACACAGCAAACAGAGAGCAGGAGTCACAACAGCAGTCATTTCCATTTAAAGCACGCTGAATTGTTTGTTTGTCGTCAGAATTTAAAAGGCTGAACGTGCTTTCAACTAACAATAGCTTAATCATTGGCTTCATCAGCTCATACGGGTTGAAACATTTGTTGTTTTAATGTGTTATTCATCATCTGCTTTTTTTATTTATTTTTTATCTATTTTATGGGTTAGTAGTTCTAACAGTTTCACTTTTGAAAGGTCCAATCAGGAACTAAAGCTCCAAAATATAGGCCAATGTAGAGAAAAATAAATGAAACTGGTGGCAGAATGTTGTTTGGTGGCATGATGTCAAGATGTTTTTTTTTTTTTTTTTTTTTTTTTTTTTTCCTGCAGGGAAGGGGGGGGGGGCAAAGGGGGGGGGGAA